GGGGGGGGTAAAATATCTGTTACATTTATTGTATGAGCTGTAGCCTACACATGCGAAATATTCCAGGACTTGTAAACTATAATATTATCTAAACGCTTCTTAATCTACCACACAATAGGACACAGTCCAACAATGGATATATACAGAGACGATCTTATTTTCTATTACAAAGTGTGCATGCTTTTACTAGTAGAGAACTGGATTTATTAGACTAATAAATCCAGCTCTCTACTAATGTTGCCAAGTTTCATTCAAATATCATGACTTTGGGAGAAGATATGACAGATAATCTTTGTAAATCTATAAAGAACACCACTTTTTTTACCTGTAAATGTCTTTACAACTCAAAAAGTGGGATAGATATTAAAAATCTGACAGCATGACTAGATTATGCATTAAAAACTACAAGACTGCCAAGTTTCATTCACATACTCCAAGAAATAGGTGAGCTATGACAAATATTGTCTCAAAACTCCAAAAACCGCCACATTTTTACCAATAAATGTCTTCATAACTCAAAAAGTAGGATAGCTTGAGAAATCGTAAAGCAGGACTAGATTCTGCACTAGCAAATGTACTGTGCTGCAAAGTTTCATTTAAATACTCCGAGAAATGAGTGAGTTATGACGAATATTGTCTCAAAACTCACCAAGGAACGTCCCATATTTTGGGGGGGGTTTTCATATAAAAGTCTATCAAAAATTATTTGTTTTTAAAAAATTTGTAACTTTTTTTATTTATTGATGGATTTCAAAAATTCAAAAAGTTCCATTCTCTGACAAGGTTTTTTGTGGTTATTGCTACTTAATATCTACCTGTAGCAGAAATTGCCCTACAACCTACATACTAGTGTCAGGACATTTTTCCTCCCGTAGGTCTTTAAAAAGCTAAAAACCAAGAGCCAAAAAATTAGTATCAGTATATTTTTTTTAAAAACATGAACGAGTTTTACGGCACTCACAATATAATTAGTTCATACAAGTGCTGAAAAATAGAGCTGTAAAAAGTAAAAGAGAATTAAAAACACTAAAAAAGAAGGAGAGACAAGGACAATAGATGTTTGATACAAAAGAAGGAGCAAAACCACACCAGAGAACCGGCCAACCACTCGTAACATTTTTTCACCTTATCTGGAGGTCTTCAGAAAGTTAAAACCAAGAGTTAATAAACTCATGAGAGCCATTCATTGTGAACAGAAATATTATACATCCCTCTTCGCAAAGCTGGTACACTACAGTTTTTAAACTAATGTAGTATCCACTGAGGAAGATAAAGCGGTTACACTAGGTTCAGATCTCACCTTGATTTGTCTCCCTCTAAACAACGACTCATCAAGCGCCATGGCAGTGATGACAGAATCTTTGTCAGCAAACTCAATGTAGGCAAACCTGACAGAAGTGGACAAAGACAACAAGTAACAAATAATCATTCATTCCCCCATCTACATTTTTTCCCACACATGCACTGTCCCATCCATAAGCCACCAGATTATCCCAGCAGTTTAGCTTTAGTGCTTTGTAAGAGTTTTACGGCACTTGCAACACAATATGGTCATATATAAGCAGTCAACTTCTGCAATATTCTTTTCCCAACCCAGACGAATTCAAGTTATCCGTGTTATACTGTTGTCTACACAAGCACATACCATCATTTTTTTTTGGTGAAAGTAATAGCCAGGCTGAGATGTCGTTTGAGGTCTAACAATGCATTTTCTCTTTACTTTATTAAACTAAACACATTGGCAAGTTTAAGCCTATTAACCAGTCAAATCATTCAAGTGGTCACTTACACACACACACACAAAAACAAAAAAAACAACCAAAAAAACTCACAACCATACAAAGCCCTCCAGTTATGAATAGTACTTTTCAATAAAAAATAAAATAAAAATCCTGAGTTCAAACAATTTTTTAGATAGAGTGTGAAGACTGACCATGATCAGGGTAAAAAAGAAATAATCACTGAAAATCAGGAGTCTAACATGCAATAACATCATTTCATGGTCAGAAATTTTAACTTTAAATTTTTTTAAAAACAACTCTCACCCTTTAGGATGGCCACTAAATTTGTCACATAAGATGGTTACTCTGTTCACTGAGCCACACCCGTGGAAATGCTGCTCCAATTCTTCAGCAGTAGCACCATAATCAACCTGCAAATTGTATAAAGTAAAGGAGGGAGGTGAGGGGGGTAAAAAAAGTTTTGCGATAAAAAATTATCATTTATAAACAAAATTGCGAAACTTGTCACAGTATTTTATTCACCGCTAATAACCTTCTAAAAAACAACACTTTCCCTAAGGGTAAATTCACATAAAGCTAAATACTAGAGAACCTGAAAGAGCATAATACATATGGTAATAAACTAAAAGTTAGGTTACGGTACAAGTATTAGGAAATGTCCACCATCTGCTTTTTCCCGTTCGCAATGTTACCATAGCCAAATAAGAACTTTAAAGTGGCAGTGGTCATGATCAGGGTAAAACTGTGTCATCAACAAGTCAGTAGTCTAACATGCATAAACATCACTTCATGACCAGCCACAATAATAAGTAACATCTTTTTTTTAGTTTAAACGTCACCTATTTCAATATCACTGCCATTTGCACTACCATACTCAAACAATGACATCAGGACCAGAGGAAAAACTTTGCCCAGATTTCAATCAAATCTAATCACAAAGGTCAGACAGACTCACCCTAACACCCAGAATGTATACAATACTTTTTTTTAAACTGAATTAAAAATATAATCAATTATATATCTGAAAAATTAGAATAACAATTTAGTAACAAAATAGGCATTAAGTCGCATCAAAATTACGAGAAAATATCCACCATCTGATATTAAGTTAGATAAAGAGAGGTAAATCGATGTAACACACGTAACCGTAGTCTTTAAAAAATGCTAGGTAAATTATGTAACCCAACGTAACCACAGCCTACGCTATCTAGTGATCATGATCAGGAAAAAATTGTCATCAACAAGTCAGGAGTCTAACATGCAATAACATCACTTCATGATCACAACAGTAGCGTCTTTTAACATAAGTACCGGTTCCATATCACTGCCACTTGATTAATAAATTTTATAATGCTGAAAAATCACATACACACCAAAAAAAACAAACGGCAAAATACTGTACCTAGAATTCAATCCTTGCAGCCCATGACAGACATGCACTCCCTGAATGTATACACAGTACCTGCTTCTTAAATGCGGTTATGTACTGGAGACAACTAGAGAACCACCATCTGGTAGCAGAAAAAAATGTGATAACCACCTGAGAAACCTTCCCCCCTCACACTTACCGGACCTGTGTAGGCTGATGTGATAACTAGCTAAAATATATACAACGCTGTACACAGAACTGTGAGTTTGGTGCATAGAAGGGTAAAGGTAATTGCTACCCCCAAGCCAAACCCCTGCTTTCCATAGGGTCCATAGGGTTAAGTAACAGTACAATTACCGGTTTAACTTAAATTCAGGGTCCCCACCAAATCCAGGAAAATTTTTTCAAGACCCAAATTTTTTTCAAGACCCTAATTCGAGGGAAAAATCAGGCCGCTGCGCGTCAAGAATGATCCCCCAAAAAGCCATTCTATCAATGATTTTTAAAAAAGTCAAAATGTCTTTAAATTAAATGAATGCAAATGTACATTTTGCAGTATAGTCTTCAAACAATAGATGAGACTATAATACTGGGTGACTGCCAAGCCAGCTTCTCAATTTTCCAAGGGAGGGCCTCATCCATATTCCAGGAACATGTTACATAACAATGTAGCAATGCCAATGAAAATTTAAATTTTCACTTTTGTCCCCCTTTTTTTTGGTACCTAAGAAAGAATTTTCAATTCTAAGAATTATGCTTCTTGAATTTTGAGAATCGGTTCATAAATTAAAAAGTTATGGGGTTGTACAGGTCGGCAAAATATGGATGACCCACATATAGGAAAATACTCCTAAAAAGTGGACCACGCAGTAGCAGATTCTGTAAGAAAATTGACGATATCTCGGTAACTAATCGGAGTGTTCGAGAGAAACTTGGCTACCCGATGTGTTTTTGAGTGTAGAAATCATTTCTGCAGTCAGATTTACTACCAATTTCGTAGTTATTTTGTTATAATTAAAATTGTGGTGTACATATTACGATTTTGCGAAAAAGGGGTGTCGGGATGAGTCCATTTTATTTATAGCATCGTATCACAACATGGGATCTTTAAGAATATATGTCGGCAGCGTGACTAAATAATTGCAAAGCTTTTTATGATGACTTTAGACCATGCCAACCTTAAAAGATAAGTTAATTCAATCTAGCATGCCGTACAATTAAAAATTCTTTTTCCCCGTTGAGACGCGAACACCCCAAGACGAGATAACCTCGCCCCGGAAAACCCCCATAGCGATGTTACAGGGGAATAGAGAGAAAAACAACCGGATGCGCGCGCCCGCCATTGCCCTATTTCAAGTGACCAATGAACGGGCCCGGAATAGTCATGCGGGGATTTGTAGGTCACATACATTTGCCACGAGAGTGAGGGGAAAATGGCCGGTCTCCGTGCGAAGCCGCTTTGGATAGGGGGGTAGTCGTGCATTTATGATCGGCTCTAAACAACTACTTGACACAGAACGTTCAAATTTGAGCACACTATAGAGGATAGATAGATCTATTACCATCTCGGCGTTGAAATTCAAACTCCTTATAGTTTTCGGTGTACACGATACGAAAGTGTTCCAGACACCAAAAGTATAGGTTAATTTATGTGTACGAACTTCAACGTCCACATATCATTAATTTGCCCTATTTTCTGATCGGTTGCCGAGTTTCATTCGGATTGGTTCGGAAATAGAGCAGACCGAAGTTGACAAAGTTAGTCACCTACACTTCGGCCGGGTCAGCAAAATCGCCCGTAAACGGGGACCAAATTTTCGCCTCGCGGGAAAGCCCGATTGGCATTGCTAAACAATGAAAGCGTGTGCTCCATTTATATCTAATAATATAATACATGTATATGTTTGTGAATACACACACACACATGTAGGTACATGTACATTATATCCAGTCAACAACATGTCAGTGTGGCACTGGGATCTTGAGAGACTTTGGTATTTCAGTCTGTTCTTACTTATTTATATTTTCCCCTCATCATATTAGCCAACATAACAAACTATAGGCCCTATATATAAAAAAAATGAATCCTGTTTTAAGCCTGAGAAAAGACCTAGAACTAGAATATCGACTGTCAATAACCTGTCTGGGTGTCATGATTCATATAATAAACGTGAAGACGAAAACCATTTCTGCAACCCAAAGTAAAGTAATAGTAATAAAAACTAGAATGGCTCAAGTACACTTATTCAGTGTGAGAGGTGTAAGAACTGGGGGGAGGGGGGGGCAAGATGCAGTGACACTGAAAATCTGCCAATCTTGAACAGAAAGCTAAAATATAGATATAAATTACAATCACCCATCCTATGAAACGCGAACACTTAAGTTCAATAACAAGGCATGACGGATCCCGATGCCACACAAGGCCTGCACCAACGCACGCTTTGCAGAGAGCTCTAAAGTACGGTAGTTATCAAAATGATAAAAATTTGCTTCCAAGTTCAGTTTTTGTCCTCTAGCGTTGCCTTCAGTTCCCCCCCAAAAAAATCCCCTTCTACAAGTGTATCTTAAGGGAGTCCTATACTTCACAGCGCTCAGACCGCCGGTACTCACAGGTTCATTGACCGGTCACGAGGGCGAACCTGACAAGACGCTTGTCTAAGTTCTTTTTCTTTTTTTTTCCCACAAGAGACAGCAGAGGGCAATTTTTAATATTGATTTATTTTCAAGGCGACACAGCGTTCATAATGTACAACCCGCATGCTACAAATGTTGCGTTATCTATCAGACTATTACCGGAAAATTTCTGGGTGGTAACGAAAGCGAAAGTAGATCTTGATTCTTCCCGATCGAGCCTCGGTGTCACACGTACACTTTCGCCACAGCGGTTCAATTACGTTTCCTCTTCAGGATTAATCAACCATACAGTCTAGATAGCTACACATTACACAGGCCCTATCCTTTCCCGACTTACCGGCCCATCACAAAATTCCCGACTTTTCCCCAACCTCCCGAACCATCTCAAAATTCCCGATTTCCCGACCTGGTGGGGACCTTGTAAATTGATCGCTACCTTCAGTTAAGCTAGACAATTAATGTGAAGTAAACAGTTGAACAATCAAACGTTTGCCTCTAAATTTTTCAAAAACAAAATTATAAAGTGATCATGATCAGGGAAAAAAACTGTCATCCACAATTCAGTAGTCTAACATGCATAAACATCATTTCATGATCACAATACAGTCTGAGTGGAACCCTCTGTCAGTTATAACAGAATCTCACAGCTTCACGTACAGGCTGGCCATCTGGAAGCCACACACTCACCCCCACCCCCGCCTAAATCTCCCTATCCAAGACAAAATATCTTAGACAGAAATTTTTACTGGCTCCCTAGGGATTCCTTCTTGGCTCAATGCACCTGTACTGGTACCTTTAAAACAATTTGTTCGCATATCACTGCCACTTATGATTATATTATACACAAAGACACAAACTGGCAAGGCATTTAACTTTACCTACATTTCAGTTTAAGTCTCATAATGCAGACATCCTAACATCTTATACACCCAAATATATATTTTTTAAAAATTTTTTTAAACCCATCAAGGGTAAATGGACCTCAATACAAAATATATTTCCAAATTCTCCACTCACATTTCCAACATAAATAGATTTCTGATCAGCCTCCAGCTTTTCTTCCGGTGTTGGAAAAGGAGACGCTGTAGCTGAAAAAGAAAAAAAGAAGAACCAAAATTATCCGGCTATAGTGAAAAGCAACATCTGGTACTCTCCTAAATGCATTTCAATTGAATTTCTAAAATTACACAAAACTGTTTTTTTGTAAGAACTCGACAAAATGTGAACACACTCGCCAACACCTCCATGACCAAAAAATAAGAACTAGTTGTTAGTTGTGTGTGAGCGCCTTAAAACTTTTACTGCTAAACAAAAGAAAAATTACAGCACACATTTTTTAATGAGCGCTATTCCAATCACAACCTGTTTTGCAATGTATCATGAAACCTGAAAGTCCATAAAAAAATAATTCAATTTCAAGCTTTAAGAAAACGAATACTGCTTGACCTTGACCACCAATGATTTATTTATAGAGGCACCAGCCATCCATGTCCAGGTGCTGTTTTAGCCTCTTTTTCCTGTATGCGGATTAATAATATCTTTTTGCCAATTTATTGTTTCTGCTTCTATGTACCCCATATCTATGGTTCTCAACCTGGAAATCGCCTATAATTCGCTGTAATTGCGCCCCCCCCCCCCCCCCCCCCCCCCACCATTTCTCATCACATCCCCCCCTGTAGTGCCATCATTTATGTTACCGTTTATTTTTATCGATAACACGTGGATTAAGGGCAGTATTAATGATAATTAAGGACAAAAAAAACCAAACCAAACAAAACCCGATCAACTAAATAATAAATAAATAAATAAGAAAGAAAGAAAGAAATAATGCTAATGATTATCATGATACAAATATGATGGAGGAGGAAGAGGAGGAGGAGGAGGGGGGGGGGAGGGGGGGGGGAGGAGGGAGAGGGGGGAGGGGGAAGGGGAGGAGGAGGGGGGGGAGGAGGGGGATGAGGAGGAGGAGAAGAAGAAGAAGAAGAAACACGTCATAACATCACAATATCAAAAACAATAATACTAACAATAGAATTGATTTGAGTAAAATAATGAAATAATATTAAAATAATAAGTGCAGTATTATTATCATAAATCAAAATTTCTTGAAGGACACTACTTGGAATCCGCTGATTGTATGGGATCAGATACCTTGCATGAATATGTTAAATTAGATAATTCAATCCATACAATATGAGGCTATATCTTCAGATCACCATCCTTTTTTTCTTTCAAGAGGAAAGCAGAGATATCTATTCTCATTTTGTGTTTGGTCATTCTATTGTGTTACATCTATAAGACTAATGCAGGATAGCAAAAATTTTGGTTACATCTATAAGACTAATGCAGGATAGCAATGACAATGAAAAATTACATCTTTACAGGCTTTTGGTTGCAAAATTTAGGGGGAACCTTTACATAGGAAGGGAAAACTTCCGAAGTCAGTACAGTCAAACTCAGTTATACAACAGGACAGGTAGGACCGGCAGTTTTCCCTTGTTACAAGAAGCGAGTTGTTCGTTATCAAGGGAAACTAACAGTACCACTGCACTTTCAGCTTACACATTCAGATTACCACAGATTCTTTTCCAGTAGGCTGTTTTGCCGACACAATCAAATCAGTGACCCCAACACTGTGGGGGGGGGTTGTATGTGAAAGTTTTTGTTAGGCAAGCAATCATACAAACAGGCGAGATGTCTTGGTTGAGACAAATTTTTATAATTTAACGGATCGCAGTAAGTTCATGTGCTGCTAGATCACTGTTATATCCGTGCTGCTAGATCACTGTTATATATCCGAGTCTGCGAAAATTGACCCGTTATAGCCAGGTTCATATATTAGTTATCACACTTATAGAGAGAAAAATAACGTGGATTTGATTTATCACTTATAATATCCGAAGTTCCTGTAATAACAGAGGCTGTTATAAATGGACTGGACTGTAATTAATTTGGTATGAGGATGAAACTTGGCATCTTCCAATGATTTTTGTTGCAGATTCTAATTCTATTATTTTTCAAATCAAATACTTGAGGTTTTTAAGACTAATATTTGCTTGAAAATTTCTTTAAATTGCCTGACATCGCTTGAACGGATATCGATCGGGGGGCACGTATGCTGGTGAGACAGGTTCAAACATTACAAAACTTCAAAATCTTCGCTTAAAAAATTACTTTGGCCTAATTTTGAACACATAGGGCAGAAGTTAGTTGAAATTACTCCATCTGTTACAGAACAGTCATAACTTTTGATCTTTAAAGAATCAGTAGTATTGTTTTTTTTAAACGGCACAAAAATCACACAAACATGACAATTCTCTAGTTCTAGAAATCTGTCAGCACTATAATATACATGCTCACATAAATAAGTATGGTCTTTAGTCTGACTGATTGCCAAGTTTCATTCATTTTCGTCCTTGAATTTTCCCGTAACTATACACTTAGAAAAGGGCTACCTCTGATGCCTAGGAGCAGCCCAAGTCCCAGCCAAAGCACCACGAACGCTTGGCATTGATACGCATTGGTAGAACATTCCCTGTGAATAAGAAACATTGCAAACCACACTTACGAGCAGCCGTTGGGGAGCTCATATTCATCTGTTTGTCAACTTCTGTCTGCATTTCTTTTAACTTTTCTGCTTCCTCCTCCATTTCTCTTACTCTTGCTTTAATGGCTTCCAGTTCCTGAGCGTAGGGCACAAAAGAGAAAAAGAACATCATGAGATATATATTTCTAGGAAATCAGAGATTAATGGTAGCCTACTGATTGAAGAAATTTTTGTCTCCCTGACGTAAACAATGAAAAATAATCTGGTGACTTTCACTTTTGGGGGAGCAAGCTGGATACCCCCGTTTTCCCCTTAATTTGATATTTTGTAAATACAACGCTAGAGATTTTCTTTGAAATAATTGACAGTTAGATGTACGACAAAAATACAACCATTTGACACCCAAAAGCAGGACAGAATATAAAAATTTACATGTTGAGTTTGTTCCTATTTATTTACTTGTACAGTACAGGGGGAGGAACAAAGGAACAGCAAGACTACAATTTTATGCTAAAGACAAGTTGTTGGGGGATGTTCTCTTGACTTGTACACCAGGAACGAAAACAAAACACTCACAGGATCTTCAACACCGCTGTCTTCTGTTATGTTGGTTGCATCCCCAGCACTTCCTTGAGTCAACATGGATGATTCCTCATCATGGGTCTCATTTTCACCATTTTCTGTGTCTGCCATTTTGATCTATTACAATAAAAGAAAATAATCATCATAATTTAGGCAAAATAAATAAAAATCTTGGTTGGGGAAAACCTGACTGAAGTGCATGTGAATTTTATATAGATCTAAATGAGTGTGTGTGTGTGTGTGTGCACGTGTGCGGGGACTAGGTGGGGGGGCTTTTAGCCGCTCTACCCTCTCAGTTTATACTAACAATTTTACTGCATTTCTGTAACTGATGTTGACATTTAGATTTCTAGATAACTAAATCTAGATCTAGATCTTAGTAACTCTGAACTGGCATTGGACGGCGCTTTTTCTGAAGGGAGTGTACACAGACCCGGTAACCGGGAACAAAGTCACGAAGTATACAGACCCGGTAGGGGAAATCTTTTTGGGGAGTGTATTCAGACCGGTAACTGGGAACATGGCCCCAACGGCCACCCCTAATCTCACCCGGAGTGAGAATAGTGCAGGCGAGTCTTGTGGCTATTCTCACCCGGTGCGCGTTCACCCTAAACCACAGAATTCTACACTGTGATAACAGAAAAATTGTAGAATTCTGTGCCGTGAACAAACGTTCCATTACAACTGTAGCCTACTAAACTAAAAGCGTACAATTTTGTCTGTGGGCAGTGGAGAGAGAGAGAGAAAGAGAGAGAGGAGTAGCGCGAGAATTTCCGGGCAAAACAAAATGGCGACCCGCGTAGTTCGGCTCGATTCGAAAAGTTAAATAGCCGTAGCATCTTTGTAGACAACCAAATTAATTTACTTTTGGGTTTTAACATCATTTTTTAACTTTGTTTTGGTCAATTTGATCGTCCACACCGATAGACAGTATTCAGAAAGAGACAGAGAGAGAGAGAGGAGGGGAGGAGTTGATCTTGCGAGAACTTCCGGGCGGGTGAGAATAGCCACTTTCCGGGAACATAGTCACGAAGTATAGACCCGGTATGGAAAATCTTTTGTGATTTCAGAAAGTTTCAGCGCCTCTTGCTCAGGGCAGACCAGTTTTACACTATTAGGTTTAAAAAGGAGATAACTATCTATGGGGTAGACCTTGGTTCTTCTAGGTCTATGGCCTAGGTCTAGTTTCAAGGCCTAAATCTAAATGAAGATTGCAGAGATGTCTTTTCGACGAAAAATCGTTTTTCCTCCGTTTTGGCTTTGGAGAAGAAGGAATCATAAGACAATTCGAAGCAAAGAACAATGACAAGGTCATAATTTCAAACGAGCAGTCACCCTCTCGGTAAGATTGTACTTTACCGGACCACCGGTTGGAACTACTTTCGCTATAGCGCCCCTGGTGCCTAATGGCCCGCTATTTTTCCTTTCCAAGCTCCCCTACTCACTCTCCTACTCAGTTTTCTACGTCCTCACCCTTCGACTGCCAACAATCGACTGACGTCTTTTACCGGGTTTTTCAGTAATCACGATCATGCTACTGTGCCCTTTGACCCACAACCCTGACACCTTGAGGCTAATTGGTCAATCTAATCACGTGGTCCACTTTTCTTATTTGCTCGCGACTCTGCTGGCTTGGCCTACTCCTGGTCCGGCAAAGTATAATAATGGAGGGCTAGAGATGCGCACGAGAGCTCATTTGCATAACGAAGTGTATACAGACCCGGTAACCGGGAACAAAGTCACGAAGTATACAGACCCGGTAGAGGAACTCTTTTGTGATTTCGGGACGTTTCAGCCCCCAGACCCGGTAGAAATCGTGTGTGTGTGTGTGAGAGAGAGAGAGAGAGAGAGAGAGAGAGAGAGAGGGGGAGAGGGAGAGAGAGAGAGAAAGAGAGGAGGGAGGGGTGCTAGCAAAATGTA